CACTGAGTTGGGCTGGAGGGGCCTTTATCTTGGGCATGAACTGAGTCCTGGATGAAACAGCTCTTGGGCAGGTGGGGAGGAAGGAGCCGAGCCTCTGCTGTTTGTGCCCCACCCCCTCCCCTTTCCCCCCCTTCCCCAAGGCTGCGTGATGCTGCTGCACCACCACCCCATGCCCCGGCCCTGCCGCCAAGGCCAGCCCCAAGGCTGGGAGCCGGCGACCAGGGGAGCTGGAGGCACGCAGTTCCCCCCGGCCAAGGTCCCTGCTGCCGGGAGCCTTTCCACAGCCCGGCATGGCAGGGAGGGCTGCTGGAGGATCAGCCTCAGAAGATGCCAATCCTCAGGGAATTATTTCCCCCAGTATCACCTGGCAAGGTGTTCCCCAGCTACACGGGTGCTAAAAAATCCTCAGGCTCGTCTGTATAAAATATTCATCCCTCCATTATTCTTCACCACCTCCCTTCTTCTAAAGACCTGCAAAGCCCTGTAAGGCTCAGAGCTTGAGGTTGACCCCCAGCTCCGACTGCTCTGCACCAGGTCCTCGGGAGAGTTGTTTTTCCACCAAAAAAGGTGGTAGGAAGAGATGGGGAAATGCGGGTGGGGGGATCTGCAGCGTGGAAGGAGAGGTGAACAGGTGGAGAAAAGAAGGGTTGGAGGGAGGGAGGGAGGGATGGATGGATGGATGGAGGGAGGGGAAGACAAGTATATACGGTTAGAGGATGGTTGGGGAAGGAAGGAAGGAAGGAAGGAAGGAAGGAAGGAAGGAAGGAAGGAAGGAAGGAAGGAAGGAAGGAAGGAAGGAAGGAAGGAAGGAAGGATGGGTGGGTAGATGGATGGATGGATGGATGGATGGATGGGTGGGTGGGTGGATGGATGGAGAAGAGAAGGATCGACAGTTGCAAGAGGAGGGGGAACACTGGGTGTTTCTTAGCTGCTTCATGATGAGTCTGACCCTCAAGACAAACATCCTCAGCTTGAGCTCTTGGTGCTGGGGAAAGCCCAGGCTGGCAGCAGGGTGCCAGCAATGCTGCTCTGGGCTGGCAGGAGGTGGGCAGCTACCGCCTGGCCCTGAAGCGGATGGCAGGGGACCTCCTGTCCCTGCGCCAGAAAGTCACCAGCCTGGAGATGGAGAACGGGCTCCTGCGGCGCAGCCTGGCCTCGCAGGAAGAGCTGGGCCACGGTCTGCTTGCCGATGTGGACCTGGACGTCATGACCCGGGAGGAGCTGCTGGACAGGCTGGGTGGGTGATGGGGCAGGGGATGTGGAAATTAGGGGATCCCTCTCCCTGGTGCAGCGGACGGGACCACACTGTCCCCTGGCTGGGTGCTGAGCACGTGGCGTGGACTCTTGCAGCCACTCTCAAGCGCAAACTGGTGGCCAGCACAGCGGAGATGAGGAGGCTGAAGGACCGTGTCCAGCAGCTACAGAATGAGCTGATCCGGGTACGGACATCAGCCAGAGCGGGCAGGGCCTGCCCGAGGGACGAGCTGGTGGCAGAGGAGCAGGGGGGAAGCAGGGAGAGCATCATGGCACCCCCATAGCCAAGCAAGTGTCTGAGAGCCCCAGGACCCCCACCACGAGGTTCTCCCAGCCCTACAAGTGATGCTTCAAGGCTTGAGGCTCAGCATGGAGGTCCCTGGTGGCTTTTCCCCTTCCTCCCCCCCTAGAAAAATGACCGCGAGAAGAACCTGGTGTTGCTCCAGCGAGCCCACTGGCAGCAGCAAGCTATGCTGAGGAGGTGCCAGGAGAAGGTGGGCAAGACAAAGGGCTTGGAGGAGACGGTACGGCAACAGGAGAAGGTGAGTTGGGGAGCAGAAGGTTCAGGCGAAAAGCGCAGGTTGGGGGCCACAAGGGTCTGTGGAGCAGACGGGACCCTCTGACCCATCCCACCCCTCCATGAGCGCTACCTGGTCCCAGGACCACAGTGGCTGGGGAGATGTGATGGTCACCACAGACTTGTGTTGAGCTGGCTCCGGTCTCTCCCGCAGGTGATCGAGGCAATGGAGCGAGTGCTGCAGGAGAAGCTCTCTGGGGCAGGCGGGACCACTGAGAAGCCGGCGGGTGGGTGCAAGCGGGGATGGGGACCCTCGGGCTGGACCCATATACAGCTGCTGGTCTTTGCTGGTGGCCATCCCCTTCTGGCACCATGGGATGATGGTCTGCAGTGGGGGATCGGAGGATGTCCTGAGCCCTCCAGCACCCATCCCTGAGTGCGGGAGAGATGGGGGCTTGCTTCTAGACCCAACTCTGCATGAGGAGGGTGTAGGACACATCGTGGTGGCTGCCCCACCCCATCCCACAGGCGAAGCCCTCTCCGGGGAGGTGTACGCCGCGCTGCTGGCCGAGAACCGCAGGCTGCGGGAGGAGCTGGCGAACACCCCCAAACCTTCACTCCCCGTCGCCCCACGGCCCCCAGTCTTGCCGGTGAGACCGGGGAGCGGGTACAGGGCTGGGGTGGGGGTCAGAGCCGTGGCACCCCGGAAAGCAGTGCCGGGGGGTAACTGGGCATGCCGGGGGCATCACTCACACAACATCTCCGGCTCCGTGGGGCGATAGCCACCCCAATCGCTTTCCCCCCCCGCAAGAAGCG